CGGCTGAGGAGGGATTTCGAGTCTCTTGCTGAAAATCAACAACAAAAGGTGCTTTACTACGAGAGCAGAGCCAATTACACGACTCTGGCCTACCTCGCCTGGCTGCGCTTCTTCTACTTCGTTGTCTCCCCTGCTTCCTCCACCCTCCACTGCCTTCATTGGCCCATGGTTTTGGGTCTCACTCTTTCCTCTTCATTCCTCTACTTCCTCATCTTACTTCCGGCTTTCATCAAGTTGTACCGGACTCACAACCTGCTCCACACAATTTGCAACCAACATACTCTTATCTGTCAACGGATCTTGGAGGCCATGAACCAAAATGCTGAGGCTGGAGCTTCGAATGATGGGGTCGGGTTCGATTTCGGGGTCCATGTCAGGGCGCTTAGCGATAATTCATTCAGTAGTGGGGAGATGAAAGTGTACGGATGCGCCATCGCCTTTGCTCTGCTCGCTGTTACTGCCTTTGAACTCTACGCCTGTAAGTATTTGCTATGCAACTGAAATGGCACAGCCTTTGCAGCCTTACTATCTATGTTTAAGAGTGTTGTAACTTTAAATTCAGATTACGTATTTTGATCTTATAATCAGTTGTGATGGGCTGCTTGTGTTTCTGCTTCTTACATAATATGTTGGGAACTAAAAATAGGTAGACATGTATGCATTGCATGAGCTCTTTCCCTTTTCTTCTCTTCTTCTTATAATAATTGTACTTTGTGTTGAAAGATTTGTGCTGTATAAAGTAGTGTGTGTTTCCCCTCTCTTGTTTCTGCCTTTTTGTTCTTCTATATTCATTTCTTACAAGAGTTGAATTCAACATCGATGTGGGAAAAGTGCAATATCAAATGGAGGCAATTAAATTATTGATGCTAATTTTGCTCCTAACAGTATCATCACAAGTGCTAACATCATGTACAAAATCATATTCTACATGTCCTGCCTTTCATAATACGCATGAGCCTTTGTAAGAAAGATAGTACCTAAGAAGCATACACACTTTAGTTCAGCTAATGTGTCCAACGTTCTACGCGAGCAGACACTTGTTAACTCAATAGATATATGTTAAAAAGTTATTAGCTGCACGAAGTCAATATGGGTCCAACATTTGTTAGAGACGTATCGATCACTTGTTAGCTTATACGTAACTCATAATTCCATCTTTGCTACGAGAAGGATCGCCATATGTATGTCAATTGCAGTAATTGCATAAAATACATAGGTAGAAATACATGCCACAACATACCTTGTAGACTCGAACTAGTTTGGAATGAGGAACTCTGTCTCATTATCTATTTCAAGTAGTTGAAAGTATGTGGTATTAATGAAGTATCCGCTCATCACTTTGCATTTTGAATGTCTATATCTATCAAATTGTACGTGGGGTAGTTTGTTTGCATCTTTTCCTATCAAACACCGTTTCAAGTCTCTCTTTCGAATTTTAGAAAATTCCTAAATCTTTAATTGCTTTGAGCATATTATCAACATATAGGAAGAGATGCATAAATGATGGAAGGTGATTCTTTGTAGAACAGTAGTCAATGCTAACTTAGAAAAATTTACTTTTGGTGATGCTGCTTCAAACCATAATTTTTTTTTGTAAGTTTATATTTTGTGTCATTGTTAGTCCTACTTCGTACTTATATTCTTGATTTGTGGCTCGCTTCCTCACTATGCTCATTCATCTAGTTTTAAGTGGTCTCCCAAACTATCTAATTCATACATGCTTAAGTACTTTGTTAGATATCATGACTCTCCATAATGGTATGATATTGTCAACTTTGAGCACAAGGTTTCATCGCTTTGCTTTTGATTTCCCCAAAAGGTCTCATACCAATAGAGACATACTCCTTACTTATAAACCTCATGATCAACTCCTTAATTAGCTACTCTCCTAACAATTCTTAACAATCCTCCCCTCGCACAAAGTAGACCATAGAGCCTCCCATGAAGCCTATGGAGCCCTCGAACAACCTCCCCTTAATCGAGGCTCGACTTCTTCTCTGGATTCCTCGAATAAAGTACACCATTTGTTCGACACTTGAGTCACTTTTGACTACGCCTTCGAGGTTCACATCTTCTTTGTTTGACATTTGAGGATTCTATTGACATGACTAAGTTAAGGACATGGCGCTGATACCGTATTAGAAACCACGACTCTCCACAATGATATGATATTGTTTACTTTGAGCATAAGCTCTCATGATTTTGCTTTTGGTTTTCCCAAAAGGCCTCATACCAATGGTGATGTATTTCCTTACTCATAAACCCATGATCAACCCCTCAATTAGCCGATGTGGGACTCCTCCCCCAACAATCCTCAACATACTCCTCCCCGTTAACTCTCTTTCTTTAGTCACATGAATAACTAGTGGCCTCAGTTGAGATGGGTTTAAAGTTGATGAAAATTTCCAAATTTTGCGTGGAGGATACTTCATTAACTTCCAAATAGTTCCTTGATCGAAAATTTGCAACCTATTTTCTTTTGCTGGCTTCATTGCATCCACAGCTTAGTTTGTTGGGTTTTTGGCATTTTTCTGGGTTCTTGCTGTCTGTATCTACCTTAGTTTGTTTGCTTTTACTGCATTGCTTTGTTGCCTTCAATGCAATATTTTTGTTTAATTTGGTTTAGTTTGGTTTTGTTGCCTTAAATCCTATACTTCAATTTTGGGCAGTTTCTTGAACTTCAAAATGTTAGTGTTTGCATGACATTGAGCAATGGAAATGAAAATTAGAGACCATATCATCTGATTTTGTGAAGTTGGCATTTCTTCCAGGACAAAAGCATTTTGTCAATTATGAAATAAAGTTCAGAACTCATATGATAAAGGAGGTTTAGAGGATGCTAAGGAGCTCATGCCATAATTGTTGATCGCTGTAAGTTGAAGTTGGATAGTGTGTCCCTCTGCAGGTATGAAGGTTTTGTAAGTTACAGTATTTCTTTGAGTTATTTTGTCTTCTAAATTCTTATACCAAATAAAGGAAATCAAGCCAGTTTTGGCATCCTCTTGCTAGCTACTATTATGTACTTCTACTTACACATAATCTCTAAGTGATAGGTTGTGTTAGGTTATGAAGTCTGCTACTTATTTATAGTTTAGTCAACGGTTATACGTAGTAAAGCTATATTTGATAAATGTAAAATGTCATAGTAAATAGGTATGTACAGTAGAAAGCTATATATATATATATACGGTAGATAGTTATATATAGCAGTTATATCTAGTAAAGTATATAGTAAGCTAAACCATATATATATATATATCTCCTGCCAGAGCTTTGAAAATATACTTTCTATATTCTCTTAACGTACATACTTGGAGTCATTAATATATATCCTTTAGTTAGAGTTCTCCTTGCATTTTCTCTATCCTGTTATTTGTGTTCATCTAAATCGAGTCTATGCGTTGTTGTGCGATCCTAACTCTGAGATTATGTTCAAGCTTTGTGATTTAGTGAGGTTTTCTTTGGTTTTCTACTCGGTTTGATGGATTTCTTCGGTCCATTTTGGCTTTATGTCTGGTTAATGCTCAATTTGGATGATTTTGCTTTGATTTTATTCAATTATCTTTTGGCATTTGGAATAAGATTTGTGTATTTTGAGTTCGATAATTGTTTACATTGATTTTGGTGGAAAGATTTGGCCTCGGTTGAGTTATGTTGAGCCGGTCATACGAGGAATATACATGTTGGAAACACGGTAATTATTTAAAATCTGAAGATTAAAATAAAAGGGCAAAATGCATTTTTAATTTCTAGTGTTAATAAAGATAAAAGTTCTGTATAAATAATGATTTTCCTAAATTAACATTAACTTTTGGGTTTAATTTTTAAATTAAAATGGGTTAAAGATTCTATTGACATGGCTCTGATACCATGTTAGGAATCACAACTCTCCACAATGGTATGATATTGTCCCCTTTGAGCATAAGCTCTCATGGCTTTGCTTTGGGCTTCCCCAAAAAAGGTCTCATACCAATGGAGTTAGTATTCCTCACTTATAAACCCATGATCTTTCACTAAATTAACCAATGTGGGACACTCACTCCCAATAAACCTCAACACCCAACCCATCCAAATCATGGTTCAAATTATTACTCACGTCACAACTTGAACTTAACCAATCAGAAACGATATTCTCAATCTTCATCCTATCCGATCTCTAAAATGTAATTTTTAGTATTTATATTCAATATTATTAAAAAAGATTGTTTGATTTATTAAAATACTTCATTAATTATATTAAAAATTTATTCGAAAAAAAGTATATTAAAAAATAGTATACGTGTGTGAGAATGTTTGATTAATCTACCACACCTAAATGGTGTAAAAGTTATCTTATTTATAATCAAATAAATTACAATGATATGAAAATAGTAATAAATTGAGACAACAATATATGGAAATATACTTATCGTAGTAAGACAAATGTCTAAATATTTACTTTATAATAAAATATCAAATATGATATATATGGTAAACTATAATTTTTTACTAAATATCTAAGTGTGGGAGTACCATAATAATTTATTATTATTATTAAAAATTAGAAATTTTGATTTTTAAAAAAAAAAAACTATAAAAAATTCAAACAATTTGGCACGTTGGAAGGTGGACTTTTTGAAGAAAAAAATTATGGTTGGGGCCCTTTGTTATTTTATATTTATGTACTTTTGTTTAAATCAAATATTTTAACTAATTTTAAAATTCCATATTAAATTAAAAAGAATAGATAGAAATTTTGAAAAGAAAAGATGCATATCACCAACTTTATCAACTAATATTTATTTATTAAATTTAATATTATAACTTTTTGTATTTAAAATTGATTGTATATATTATCATGGTCTAAAACTTTATTCGACGTCTCCATCGACTCTAAAACTTTATTCAACGTCTACATCGACTCTAAAACTTTATCCAACAACTTACACGTCTCTATAAAAACTGCACATGGTTACTGATCTTTAATCAATTGTCTTAATTGAAGAATTAGAGGTGTTTAATCCATTCAGAGATGGAGCTTCAATGGCTGAAGAGGGATTTCGAGACTCTTGCTGAAAATAAGCAGCAAAAGGTGCGTTACTACGATAGCAGAGTGAATTACACGACTATGGCCTACCTCGCCTGGCTGCGCTTCTTCTACTTTGCTCTCTCCTCTGCTTCCTCCACCCTTCATTGTGTTCATTGGCCCATGGTTTTGGGTTTGAGCCTTTCCTCTTCATTCCTCTATTTCCTCATCTTACTTCAGCCTTTCATCAAGTTGTACCGGACTCACAACCTGCTGGACACAATTTGCAAGGAACATACTCTTATCTGTCAACGGATCTTGGAGGCCATGAACCAAGATGCTGAGGCTGGAGCTTCGAATGATGGGGTTCGGTTCGATTTTGGGCTCCAAGTCAGGGCGCTTAGCGATGATTCATTCTGTGGTGGGGAGATGAAAGTGTACGGATGCGCCATCGCCTTTGCTCTGCTCGCTGTTACTGCCTTTGAACTCTACGCCTGTAAGTATTTGCTATGCAACTGAAATTGCACAGCCTTTGCCGCCTTACTATCTTATGTTTAAGAGTGTTGTAGCTTTAAATTTAGATTATGTATTTTGATCTTATAATCAGTTGTGATGGGCTGCTTGTGTTTCTGCTTCTTACTTAATACGTTGGGAACTAAAAATAGGTAGACATGTATGCATTTTACGGAGCTCTTTCCCTTTTCTTCTCTTCTTGTTCTTAATAATTGTACTTTGAGTTCAAAGATTTGTGCTGTATAAACTAGTGTGTGTTTCCCCTATCTTGTTTCTGACTTTTTGTTCATCTATATTCATTTCTTACAAGAGTTGAATTCAATATCGATGTGGGAAAAGTGGAAAACAACCTTTATCAAAGCAAGCTAACACCAAGTTTTGAAGTAACAATATCAATTGGAAGCAATTAAATTATTTGATGAAACAGATGTTAGTCTTCGTATTAGCCGAGATATCATTGATGCTAATTTTGCTCCTAACATTATCATCACAAGTGCTAACATCATGTACAAAATCATATTGTACATGTCCTGCCTTTCATAATACACATGAGCCTTTGTAAGAAAGATCGTACTTAAGAAGCATGGACACTTTAGTTCAGCTAACGTGTCCAGCGTTCCACACTTGGACATTTGTTGGATACGAGCAGACACTTGTTAATTCAATACATATATGTTAAAAAGTTACTAGCTGCGCAAAGTCAATATGGGTCCAACATTTGTTAGAGACATATAGATCACTCGTTAGTTTATACGTAACTCATAATTCCATCTTGCTACAAGAAGGTTAGCCATAGTTATGTCAATTGCAGTAATGGCATAGAAATACATGCCACAACATACCTGGTAGACTCGAACTAGTTTGGAATGAGGAACTCTGTCTCATTATCTATTTGTGTGAATGAAGTAGTTGAAAGTATGAAATATGGTATTAATGAAGTATCAGCTCACTAAGCACTTTGCATCTTGAATGTCTATATCTATCAATTTGTATGTGGGGTAGTTTGTTTGCATCTTTTCTTATCAAACTCCTCTTTATGTCTCTCTTTCGAGTTTTAGACAACTCCTAAATCTTTAATTATTACCATATAGGAAGAGATGCATAAATGATGTAATTTGATTCTTTGTAGAACGGTAATCAATTCTAATATAGAAAAGTTTTTTTGTGTCATTGCTAGTGCTACTTTCTTCTCCTCACATCTACTTATATTGCTAGTGCTACTTTGTTCTCCTCCCATCTACTTATCTTCTTGATTCATGACGGTCTTCCTCACTATGCTCATTCATCTAGTTTCAAGTGGTCTCCCAAATTAGCTAACTCGTACATGCTCTGGGTACTCGGTTAGAAACCATGACTATGCACAATGTTATCATATTGTCTACTTTGAGCCTAAGCTCTCATGGCTTTGCCTTTGGTTTCCCCAAAAGGTCTCATACCAACGGAGATAGTATTCTTTACTTAAAAACCAATGATCAACCCCTTAATTAGCCGACGTGGGACTCCTCTCCAAACAATCCTCAACATACTCCTCCCCGTTAACTCTCTTTCTTTAGTCACGTGAAAAACTAGTGGCCTATCAGTTGAGATGGGTTTAAGTTAATGAAAGTTTCCAAATTTTGCGTGGAGGATACTTCATTAACTTCCAAATAGTTCCTTGATCGAAAATTTGCAACCTATTTTCTTTTGCTGGCTTCATTGCATCCACAGCTTAGTTTGTTGGGTTTTTGGCATTTTTCTGGGTTCTTGCTGTCTGTATCTACCTCAGTTTGTTTGCTTTTACTGCATTGCTTTGTTGCCTTCAATGCAATCTTTTTGTTTAATTTGGTTTAGTTGGGTTTTGTTGCCTTAAATCCTATACTTCAATTTGGGGCAGTTTCTTGAACTTCAAAAAAATGTTAGTGTTTGCATGACATTGAGCATTGGAAATGAAAATTAGAGACTATATCATCTGATTTTGTGAACTTGGCATTTCTTCCAGGAAAAAGGAGGTTTAGAGGATGATAAGGAGGCCATGCCATAATTGTTGTTGTTGGCTGTAAGTTGAAGTTGGATAGTGTGTCCCTGCAGATACGAAGGTTTTGTAAGTTTCAGTATTTCTGTCTTCTAAATTCTTATATGAAATAAAGGAAATGAGCTTGATTGAATACATAATGATAATGATATCCTGTACTAGCTACTATCATGCATGTTCTACTTACTCATAATCTCTAAGATTATGTTCAAGCTTTGTGATTTAATGAGGTTTTCTTTGGTTTTCCACTCGGTTTGATGGATTTCTTGGGTCCATGTTGGCTTTATGTCTGGTTAATACTCAATTCGGTTGATTTTTCTTTGATTTTATTCGATTATCTTTTGGCATTTGGAATAAGATTTGTGTATTTTGAGTTCGGTAATTGTTTACATTGATTTTGGTGGAAAGATTTGGCCTCTGTTGAGTTATGTTGAGCCAGTCATAAGCTAAAGGGAGAAATATACACGTTGGAAGTAAAGTGATTTACTTATTAGATGCCTTTCTTTTGTTTGCTCTGTGATTGTTGTCTTGTGGTGCATATTACATTAAAATAGTGTTTTGAAATGTTGATGGGACCTCTTGCATGTGTATATGACATGATATTTGTGGAATAACACTTTGACACTTATTAGTGAATGAGTTAATTGTACTACTATGTTCATACATTAGTTGATTTATGATTTGGTTCTTGATTTTAGATCGAGAGTCAAGGTTTTGATTTTGACTACAAGCTAGATGATCCATGTTTTGAGACCTACTCACATGCTAGATGATCAATGTCTTTGGTTCAATCGGGGTCACTAGCGAGATGATCCTATTTCAAGGTAGATTGTTTTGATGGTGTCTTGATAATACATTACATTTATTTTATTGTGTGTATGCATATTTAATTTCCTGGTACAGTTACTACATATTTTTAATATTCAACTTTTCTAAACTTTTTTTTTTTTGTTTCAGATAAAGACAATGACTGAAAACGCGACGAGAAGGGTTGTTGGTTGTGCCATGAGGTTTGTCTTCATAGGTCCACTACGTTGTTTTTGCTTCAACATTTAAAAAAATTTCATGTAGTTGTGAACTTTGATTGTTTTGAGAGATGTTAAGGAATTCATTTGTGGTTTATTCCTTATAATGTATGTTTTAGAGTTTGTTTAGCTTGATCCATGTATTTTCGGATATTCTAATGGTATCTCGAACCAACTTTATTAAGCGGTAAATAATCACATTTTTATTAACTTTTACATTTTTTTTTTCAACTTTTAAAATGACATATTACAAACATCTAGTACAACCCTAATCGGTTTAGATTTAGAAAAGTCGGGTCGTTGTAGTAGTTTGTGAATTATATATTTGAAAATTTGTCGAAGTATTAGTCATAGGGTATAGTTTTCGACCCTACCGCTCGAAGCTAAATTATTTAAAATCTAAAGATTAAAAAAAAAAGAAGGGAAAATGCATTTTTAATTTCTTATTCGTATATATAATGATTTTTTTGAGTTAAAAGTTTAATTTTTAAATTAAAATGTCTTAAAATATTTAAAAATATTTAAAAGGACCCATTCTTTTGGTTAATAATGTGTGTTGGGTGGCTGTCAAAGACCCCATTTCTTAGTTACCCCCATTTCTTAGTAACTTCCCATTGGATTGTGTTTTGGATTGGCATGGTTGATAATAGGTGGCTTTGTAAATATTTTAATTCTCAATTTATTTGCCAACCAATCCAAATGTTGCTTCAAATTATTACTGCCGTACTACTTAAGTTAAAGCAAGAAAGTGTTAGGATGAAAATACTGCTCATTTAGGGAATGATCGTAGATTTATAAAGGAATACAGGCCTTTTAGGAAGTAAAAAATAAAGTCACGAGAATTTATACTCAAAATAGACAATATCAAACTATTATAGAAATTGGTGATTGGAGACCTAGTAAAAAAAATGACTAAATTATTGAATAAAGAGGGTATATTAACCCCTTTTTAACTAAAATGGTTATAAACCAATATTTATTGATTTAAATATTGGTAACTTTTGTATTTAGAGTTGTTCTAAGAAATTTACATTTACAAGTATTTAAAGTTGTTCTAAGAAATTTACATATAAATCAACGAACTCTGCAAGTCTTGCCGAAATTCGAATTGAAGGATTGGAGGAGGAGTGTTTCAATTCAGATATGGAGGTTGAAGGGCAGTTGAGGATTTTGGAACAAAGGGCTTGTTACTACGAGAGTAGAGCCAATTACAGGACCATGGCCTACCTGGCCTGGCTGCGCTTCTTCTACTTTGCAGTGTCCTCTACTTCCACCACCCTCCACTGTGTCCACTGGCCCATGGTTTTGGGTTTGAGCCTTTCCTCTTCCTTGCTCCTCCTTTTCAAGAGGCTCTCTATGAATGTTTGCTTAATCACCACACCTAAATGGGGTGAGAGTTCTCTTATTTATAATTATTTTTAGAATACAGAAATACGGTAAATTACAAATATTATGGAAATAGTAATAAAATGAAAGAATAAAAATGAATGCAATATATTTGCCTTTAATAAGAGGGCAAATATGGTAACCCGTAATGTAAGGCAAATATCTAGATATTTGCCTTATAGTGACGGTCAACTATCCTTAACACCCCCCGCAAGCTGAGCGTCGGATTTGAATGAACGTAAAGCTTGGATCTGAAAAATTCAAAGAGAGGTCGAGAAATACTCTTTGTGAAGATGTCAGCAACTTGGAGATGAGAGGGTACATATTGTGTGCGAAGTTTGCCAGCGATAACAAGTTCTCGAAGGAAATGATAATCTAGTTCAACATGTTTGGCCCGCTTGTGAGAAACGGGATTAGAGCTCAAAAAAATAGCACTTTTGTTGTCACATAAGAGTAAGGGCGGCTTTGAAATAGGGACCTTGAGGTCATGCAAAAGATGCGTCACCCAAAGAAGTTCAGCAGCGGTTGTGGCAAGAGCACGATACTCAGATTCACAGCTGGAGCGTGAGACAGTAGGTTGCTTTTTGGCACTCCAAGAAACCAGATTGTTACCAAGATAAATAGAATAGCCGGATGTAGAACGACGAGTATCGGGACAACCAGCCCAGTCAGCATCCGAATAAGCGACTAGCGTACTAGGAACATTGGATGGACGAAAGGTAAGACCAAAGTGGAGTGTTCCTTTGACATAGCGAAGAATACGTTTGACAGCAAGAAAGTGATCTGCAGTAGGGGCATGCAAGAATTGACTGACAGAATTGACAGCATAGGCAATATCTGGACGCGTAATAGTCAAGTACTGAAGGGCGCCAACAAGAGATCTGTAGAGAGTAGGATCAGAGAAAGGAGAACCATCAGCAGTCAAGTGTTGAGAAACAACCATGGGAGTGTGAACTGGTTTGCTATCGAGCAACTGAGCACGAGTAAGAATATCTCGAGCATATTTTAACTGACTAATAAAGAGACCATCAGGAGTGGGTGAAGCTTCAAGACCAAGAAAGTAACTGAGAGAACCCAAATCTTTGGTAGCAAACTCAGAATGAAGCTTGCGAGTAAAGCTGTCAATAAGAGATGAGTTGTTGCCGGTAACAATAATGTCATCAACATAAAGAAGCAAATAGATAATGTTAGATTGCTGATGAAAGACAAAAAGGGACGTGTCAGCGCGACTGCAAGAAAACCCAAGTGTGAGAAGAAATGAGCTAAAACGCTGAAACCAAGCACGAGGAGCTTGCTTTAAATCATAGAGGGCTTTCTTTAATAGACAAACATGAGTGGGAAATCGAGGATCAATATACCCAGGAGGTTGTTCCATATGAACACGTTCAATAAGAGTTCCATTGAGAAAAGCATTCTTGACATCAAGTTGTCGAAGAGGCCATTTATTTGTGACTGCAATAGAAAGCACAACACGGACAGTGGTAGCTTTGACAACCGGACTGAAAGTGTCAGTGTAGTCAAGACCAGGAACCTGAGTATAACCTTTGGCAACAAGACGAGCCTTGAAACGCTCGACAGATCCATCAGGCAAATATTTAATACGAAACACCCATTTAGAACCCACGATGTTGGTGTTAGCAGGGCGAGGAACCAAAGTCCAAGTATCATTTTGTTGTAATGCTTGAATTTCTTCATCCATGGCAGCCACCCAAGCAGGATTCTTAGCCGCAGATTTGAATCCTTTTGGCTCAGTGGATGCAAGAAGAGCAGAAAGAAGTCCAGATGAGCCCAAAATACCAAGATTTGCTGGATGACGAGTCTTGAATATACCAGCTTTGGCTCGTGTGATCATAGGATGAGTGCCCAAAGAAGAGAAATCAACAGGAGGTTCAATAGAGGTCGAATTAGAAGTCGAGGGTGGCAAAGTGGAACCTGCAAGAGAAGTATCAACCTGCACAGACTCATCTACAAGGTCAGAACAAATATCACACGGGGATGAACTGGATCGAGGAGTTTGCGGTGATGAAGTGGTAGGGGAGGATGAATCAATATGATGAAGATGTGGTTCTAAGAAATTTGAAATAGGAATAGAGGAAAGAGGTTGGGTCTGGGAGCTAGGGATAGCAGGAAAGTGGGTTTCATCAAATTGAGCATGACAGGTGATATATAGCTTAGTGGTGGCCGGATCAAGACAGCGAAACCCTTTATGAGCAGGACTATAACCCAAAAAAATACAAGGAATGCTGCGGGGAGAAAGCTTGTTAGGCATATAATCACGCAAATAAGGATAAACACGACAACCAAAGGGATGAAAATTGTCATAATGTGGAGTGTAGCCATAAAGGAGTTCAAAGGGTGACTTACCTCCAAGAAGTGGAGTAGGCAACCGGTTGATAATATAAGCTGCAGTGCTGAAGGCGTCAACCCAAAAACGAGAAGAAAGATGAGAGTGAAAGAGAAGGGCCAAGCCAGTCTCAGTCACATGACGATGTTTTCTCTCAGCACGACCATTTTGAGCAGGTGTATATGGACAAGAGAGTTGATGGTGGATGCCAGAATTACGTAAATGAGTTTTGAAACAAGTACTAGTAAATTCGGTACCACCATCGCTTTGAAATACCTTGATACGAGAAGAATATTGATTTTCCACAAATTTTTGAAATTGAAGAAAAATATCAAAAAAATCAGATTTAAATTTTAAAGGGTAAAACCAAGTGAATCGAGAATAATCATCAATAAAAATAACATAATAAAGGAAACCCGAATTTGATTTGACGGGAGAAGGACCCCAAAGATCACAATGAATAAGATCTAACACATGAGACGACCTACGTTCATTGCGGGAATAAGGCAATCGATGACTTTTTGCAAGCTGACAGGTATTACATAATGATGGAGAAGGCAATAAAGACGTAAGAGAAAGATGACCTTTTCTATTTAAAAAAGAAATAACAGAATGATTCACATGACCTAGACGAGCATGCCATAAATCATATGAAGCACGTAAAGATTTGTTTCTAAGGGCTGAAATAAAAGCAGAGTTGCCGCGCTCCAGCACATATAGCCCTCCATCTCTTTTACCGGTTGCCACCACCCTTCCTGTTTGACGATTCTGGATAGTAATAAGATTATTAGTAAATGTAACGGAGAGAGGAAAATCAGACGTTAATTTACTTATGGAAAGAAGATTTTTAGTGAGGTGAGGGACAACCAAGACATCTAACAAGTGAATATTTGGAACAGGAGAAAGAGTACCGGTGTGGGTAATGGGTAGGGATGCACCGTTTCCTACAATCACAGAGTCCTTACCCGTGTAATTTTTAGACTGATCCAAAATAGATGGGTCGGCAGTCATATGGGCCGAAGCTCCAGTGTCCAGAAACCAATCAGCAGTATCGGGTCCAGCAATAGAACATGACGTGTTAAAGGCTTCAGCAAGGTGAGCATGAGAAGAATCAGGTCGAACATACCGTTGGTTGCATGTGAATACCATAGAGAAGAAAGGATCAGGGTTGTTAAACCGAAAGGGCTCTGATACCATGTGAATGTTTGCTGAATCACCACACCTAAATGGGGTGAGAGTTCTCTTATTTATAATTATTTTTAGAATACAGAAATATGGTAAATTACAAATATTATGGAAATAGTAATAGAAGGAAAGAATAATAAATGAATGCAATATATTTGCCTTTAATAAGAGGGCAAATATGGTAACCCGTAATGTAAGGCAAATATCTAGA